AACCAGAAATCGAGAAAAATTAACATAATTTCATGGAATTAACTAATTTCTTTTTATTAAAATTCTTTTAAAATTTTTGTTTTATTACTTTTGAAAGTTGAGCGAATCTCGTGTTTTAGAACTTTTTTTAAACAATTAATTTTTAAGCAAAAAACACAACCGACTTCAATTCGCGTATGCAAATTTAGGAGTACCATTAATTTTTTCGTGATTCAGTGATCGGATCTAAACCAAATTACTAGTCACCCTTGAGGTACCATCTTTTCGATAAAAAAATAATTATTGAAATCGGTTCGAGTGGTCCAAAGCTATGCGGTGGCATACATAAAAGAAGAAAACATATTCCGACGAATTGATAACCTCCCCTTTTTTGAAGCTGGTTAAAAATGTTTGATTTCTTTGTTAATTTTATGTAAATAAAATGCAATTTATGAAACTTTAAAAATATATTCCTGGGTGCGCCTCTGACTACAACTACTATTGCATTTCGTTAGATTTAATGAATACACTAATTACTCATTTTAATGCAACTATTAAATTTATAATTTACACTGGTTAGCTGACGAGCAACGTCCAAGCATACTGGACTGATCCGCGTTGTTCATCTACGAGTACAGTGCGAAATGTGTGCGTGTTAAGTGTCGTAATGTAATTAGTTCATTAAGAGTTCCAGGTTGCTCATACGCCAGGGGTTGCTTTACTGAAGCCGTTAATTAATTTTGAAATTATCGACTCATTGCAATTTAATGTACTGCGAAAATGTTCTCTTCTCTCTTGCCGAATATTTGATTCGTATAAATAAAAAGGTTAAACTCAGTTGCAGTGTTGTTAACTCTTTATACCGAATTTCCCTACGCTGCACTGTGGTCTGGCAGCTGCTATTTGCTGGCCAAAAGTAATATTTTAAAGTGTCGATTAATCGATTTTTGTTTGGTCCCTTCACTAAACTTATTCTCAAGAATAAAAAATTGCTTACAAATTATTTTCTGTTTTGTCGTGCTTTTCGATGTTTGAAAAGAAAGATGTATAAAACTGCTGTTTTAAACATTTTGCTGCAAAATATTATTAAAGGGAGCACATCCGAAGAATATAACAACTATATAAAGGAATTAGCAGGAATGATCTCCAAATACATAGGTGAAAAATGAATTCTTGCATTTTTTTTTTTAAACTTGTACGTTACGTTATTTTTTTCAAACTTTATACCTAGCC